CAGGAAAAAAAATACACATATAAAAATATGATAAACTTTGTAGACAAGATTAGGAAGGGTGAAATAAAGATGCAGAATTCTGCAAAATGAAATAGAACACCCTGTGGTAATAAGATAATGCTGCTTGAAGAAAACTGCATTTAGGTTAGGTAGAAAGCAGGTAAGAAAGCACTCTATGTATAAAGAATAAAACTGAGCATAGGAAACCAGCAATGCAAAAGAAGAGTTTAGGCAGCATACATGTTCCAGTTTGACTAAAGTAAAAGATTTATATGAAACTCATTATGAAAGGCCATGGAAAACCTGCAGCCTTTGAGGTATGTACTAAGCCGAAAGATGAAGGTGTAAAGTATTTCAAAAATTGTAATCTCTTTTTTTTTTTTTTTTTTGAGATGGAGTCTTGCTCAGTCTCCCAGGTTCGAGTGCTTCAAAAAGTGTAATCTCCTTTTTTTTTTTTTTTTTTTTTTTGAGATGGAGTCTGGCTCCACCTCCCGGGTTCAAGCGATTCTCCTGCCTCAGCTTCCAGAGTCACTGGATTACAGGCACCTGCCACTATGCCCAGCTAATTTTTGTATTTTTAGTAGAGACGGGGCTTCGTCATGTTGGCCAGGCTGGTCTTGAACTCCTGATGTCAGGTGATCCACCCACCTAAGCCTCCCAAAGTCCTGAGATTATAGGCGTGAGCCACCAAGCCCAGCCATCCTCTTTTCTTTCTATACTTATTCTCTAGATGACTCAACCAGTCTCACAGTTTTAAATATTATCTCTGTGATGACAACTCTCAGACCTCCTTCTTGAACTTCAGTCTAATTTAGTGTGAAGCCAGCCATCTCATTCAACTTGGATATCAAGCAAGCATCACAAATTTAGCACATTCAAAGTTGAACTTCACGAAAACCCCCTGCCAAATATGCTCCTCTCAGGGCTACTCCCATGTTAGTTAACGGCAACTCCATTCTTCCAGCTACTCAGGCCAAAGATTTTCAAATAATCCTTGACTTTTCTTTTGCCCTCATACCTCACATCCAATCTATCAGAAATTGTTAGTTCTGCTTGAAGTATATCCCAAACCAGAGTCTCCCTCTCACTGGATTTGTGCCAAAGCTCCTAACTGATCTCTCTGCTTCCTCTCCTACCTCACTATCATTGCCAGAATGATTCTATTATCACATAAGTCAGATGTCACTTACATGTTCAAATTCCTACAGAGGCTACCCAGCTCAGAGTAAAAGCCACACCCCTAATTGTGATCTATGTGGCCCATTCAATCTGTATTTTTCTACTCCATACTTGTCCCATAATACACACCCTTGCCTCCTACTAGTCATCTTGCAGCTCACTCTGCTTCCCATCAACATTCAAACACGCCAGGCACACTTGTATCTGAGGTCCTTTACATCTGCTATTCCCTTTGTCTGGAACTTTCTTCCTCCATATATGTATTGCCTTCCTCACTCAATTCCTTCAAGTTTTTACTCAAATGCTACCTCTATAAAAGGGCCTTCCTGGCCACTTTAATCCAAAATGTCCATCTCTTTTTTAAATATTTTTTTTCCCTCAGAAAAGCCTTGTTCTGACAAAATGTCAATGTCTCACACTCCATACTCACTGTCTTCCTCCTTCATTCATTTTTCTCCTTTGCAGGTATCACTGCCTAACATGCTATGTACTTCTCTAGAAGATAAACCATCAGGGGTCATAAGTTTTCATTTACTGATTACTATAACCTTAAGTACCTAAAAGAGTCCTTAGCATGTAATAAGCACTCAATATTGGTTTAATGAATAAAGAACCTGGCAATGCTATACAAAATACACTAGAATACCATATTCTCAAATTATCAAAAATATGTATTTAGTAGCAACAATGCTGCAAGGTTTCTGGGGAATACAAAGATTAAAAGACAATGTGAGAGAGACACAATTAACTATAATCTAACTATTCACAACTTTCACAAAGAAAATGCTATAAGGACTTGAGGGAAAATTCCCTTAGTGGGGAACTACTACAGTAGCTTAGGCATCAGGTGATCAGGCCCTATATTGAAGAAAATGAAAAAAAAAAGTGGAAAGGAAGGGACAGGTGTGATTATCACAATAGACAAACGGTAGAGATTGGTGATTACTTAACAGGGAAAGAAATGTCACAAATTGTCAAGCTTAGATAATGGCATGAATGTAGTGCCATTTTTTAAAGGGAGGGGGAGTGCACAAAATGGATGGCAAAATGACTAGTCCAACATTAAACATGCTTTGTTTTAGCTGATAGCAGACCATTTAAGTGGAAATTTCTGGTCACAGTCCTAGACTGAGAACTGTAACTCACGGTTTTAAGAAATACAGAATTAGGAGAGTTTCTCCCTCTACAGAAAGATAATTGAAACTGAAAAAGTTGAGATTTCCAATCAAAAGTCTAAAGAACACCATAGGAAATAGGTGAACTCACAGATCAGGGGAAACAAGGGGTGCAAATGAACATGACAGAGAAAAAGAAGTTAAAGAGGAAAAAATAAAACCAGGACACCTCGAAGTCCATATAGCTAGAAAATGTATTGAGGATTTTAATAACCAAACTACTACCCACTATCATATTTAATAATTTTGCAAATACATTCATTTAGGTACTCAAAAATCTCAGATGAAATCAAAGCAATACTTCTATTCAATCTTCATTTAAAATTGTCAGACTGGTGTAATCATTTTCCAGGCAAACTCTGAAGCAAAAAAACAGCTTGTGTACTTTTGCACATTTAATTGGATTGTAGTATAGATGTAAGATAAAGAATGTGATGTAATAAGACTCTGTCTCCCAGGAAACCACCTAATATCATGGAAAATCGTGCAGCCTTCTTTATAATTGTAATTCAACCCTGCTCAGCATCTAGCTCAGTTCTATATATATAAGGAGTATTTAATATATATTCATTTATAAAAGTAGCAAACAGGATAAGCAAGAAAATACCAAAATGGGTACATTTCAAATAACTGCTTTGGGGGAGAAATGGGAAATGGAGAGCTATTGTTTAAAGGATACAGAGTTTTGGTTTGAGAAGATGAATAAGGATGGTGGTGACTATTGCATAATGATGTGAATGTACCTAATATCACTGAACTGTACACTTAAAATGATTAAAATGGTAAATTTTATGTTATGTATATTTTACCTCAATAGAAAAATATAACTAGTTCAGCTCACAATTTATGCTACAAGCTAAATGTTAATTCTCCAGGAGTAATGGTTATATCAATATTCTTTTTAATCTCAGGTCTCTGAATTCATGATTGTAATTCAATAATGAGGAAAAGCTTTGGTCGAAGATAAAACTGACAACGGAAAATAGAGAACAAGATAAAAACAGGGTTTTCCTATTTAAAATAATTTTTTTCCTATTTTTTTTTTTTTTGAGATGGATTTTCACTCTTGTTGCCCAGGCTGGAGTGCAGCAATATGATCTCGGCTCACTGCAACCTCCACCTCCTCGTTTCAAGCAATCCTCTTGCCTCAGCCTCCAGAGTAGCTGGGACTACAGGCACCAACCACCATACCCAGCTAATTTTGTATTTTTAGTAGAGACAGGGTTTCTCCATGTTGCCTAGACTGGTCTCGAACTCCTGACCTCAGATGAGCAACCCACCCTGGCTTCCCAAAGTGCTAGGATTACAGACAAGAGCCACAGTGTCTGGCCTAAAGTAATTTTTATCAATTATTTTTCTTTACACTTTACTTACATCACTTCATAATAAAGTTAGAATACATTTAGCAACTACATTAATAAGCCAACCATCTAATTTTTTAAAGGCTAAATTAAAAAGAAATGTTTCAAATACATAAAATTTAAAACATACTCAGTACTACTAGTCTCCTGGAAAATCAGCCATACACATACAGGGAATGAAAGGTTTTGATCATGCCATAGCTCAAGCAGTAACCAAATGAATAAGAAGTGCTCATTTTATCTGGTATCTAGTCAGCTTTCCATAAATTTTATTTTTAATTCTGCCAGAACTCTTTCTTCCCTGGTCACCACAAAATATATCAGCAGACTTCTCCTTCATTTGGAGTCCAAAACCTTGTCATTCCTGCCCAGAACAACCCACTGCATTACATTCATCCAAATGCTATTTAACCTTCAAGTAAAGATCTCACTTCCATCATGAAATTACCTTCTACTAGGCCAAAACATACTGATCTCTTCTTTACTAAATTCTCATATCCTTTGTAGTCTAAGCCAATGCTTCTAAAGCAATCTATGGTGAGGTGCCATTTTTAAATTGTTCTAATCCTTTGTGGACTGATGTTTTATAAAATGAAATTAGGATGATTACCAGAAATTTTTGTAAACATGCAAACTAGAAGCCACATTTTTTATTATAAATTTCAACAGACATAAAACTACCCTGCCAAATGACTATAAAAGTTTCAAAAGCTTATTGTCAATTTCTTTATATTCCAGCAAAGGAGTAATAAACAGTTCATGGACTGACATCCGTCTACACACCACACTTTGAGTAGCAATAAACAATTCAGGGCTTCAGTCAATAATTATTTATAATATACTCAGCATGAAATCTTCACTATGCTACACACTGTAAGACAATGAAAAAGGTATAAAGCAAAGCCTTCTCCTTTAGGGAGTCTATACTTTGTAAGGAAGAACATGAAGAAGTGTAAAACAATAACAAATAATATGGATAAATAAGCTTTGTTGCTGATTAGAGGGAAAAATCACTAAGTCTGGAGTAGTCAGGACAGGAGACCTGAAAAAACTGTAATTTGAATTCAACATTTATGTTTCAATAGGACTCAGATATGGAAAGGATGGTTACTCTAGAGAGTAGAGACTACATGTACAAAAGCACAAGGGTAAGAATGAACACAGAATGTAGGTAACACAATAAACTGAACATAGAATGTAGACAACACAATAAACTGAGCAGCTCTCAGTAGAAGGACAAGTACTGATAGGCAGGGTATTGAAAGTCAATCAGAGTTGACACAGAAAAATGTGAGCAAGGGTGGTTTGTAAACACGGCTGTGCTCAGGCCTCACGGGCAACCGAAAGAATCCTGAACTAGTGACCTGGAAGGGATACTAGATGGAAACTTGAGAAAGGACTGCTTACTTGATAAAAGCTAAGGCATTCCTGGAAGCGGCATAAATAAAGCTCATGGCCCACCAGCCAGAAAGTATTCTTGCCACGAGAAAAAGAATGTGATAAGTCATTCAACTTATGAAATTCAAGTTACATGTGAATTCTGCCAGGCAATACAAGGACCTGTGGAATATGAGTGATGACAAACCCTTTCTATGCACTGCGCCTGGATGTGGCCAGATCAGACCCTAACACCAACAAGATTCTTGAAAAACTGTGAAGAAGTGGATTTGTTTAATGAGTTGGCAAGTCCATTTGAGAATGAATTCAAGAAAGCTTCAGAAGACAACATTAAAAAAATGCCTCTAGATTTATCCCCTCTTGCAACACCTATCATAAGAAGCAAAATTGAGGAGCCTTCTGTTGTAGAAACAACTCACCAGGATAGTCCTTTACCTCATCCAGAGTCTACTACCAGTGATGAGAAGGTGATCTCATCCAGATCCATAATTTTAATAAACATCTACATACTGATGACTCCCAAATTTCTGTGGACTTAGGAAGTACCACTGGCACAAACTGCACAGCCCACATCAGCTATTGTTCGTCCAGCATCATTACAGGTTCCCAATGTGCTGCTAACAAGTTCTGACTCAAGTGTCATTATTCAGCAGGCAGTACCTTCACCAACCTCAAGTACTGTAATCACCCAGGCACCATCCTCTAACAGGCCAATTGTCCCTGTACCGGGCCCATTTCCTCTTCTGTTACATCTTCCTAATGGACAAGCCATGCCTGTTGCTATTCCTGCATCAATTACAAGTTCTAATGTGCATGTTTCAGCTGCAGTCCCACTCGTTCCACCAGTCACCATGGTGCCTAGTGTTCCAGGAATCCCAGGTCCTTCGTCTCCCCAACCAGTACAGTCAGAAGCAAAAATGAGATTAAAAGCTGCTTTGACCCAGCAACATCCTCCAGTTACCAATGGTGATACTGTCAAAGGTCATGGTAGTGGACTGGTTAGGACTCAGTCAGAGGAATCTTGACCACAGTCATTACAACAGCCAGCCACATCCACTACAGAAACTCTGGCTTCTCCAGCTCACACAACTCCATAGACCCAAAGTACAAGTGGTCATCTGAGAAGAGCAGCTAATGAAGATCCTGATGAAAAAAAGAGAAAGTTCTTAGAGCAAAATAGAGCAGCAGCTTCAAGATGCCGACAAAAAAGGAAAGTCTGGGTTCAGTCTTTACAGAAGAAAGCAGAAGACTTGAGTTCATTAAATGTTCAACTGCAGAGTGAAGTCACCCTGCTGAAAAATGAAGTGGCACAGCTGAAACAGCTTCTTCTGGCTCATAAAGATTAGCCTGTAACTGCCATGCAGAAGAAATGTGGCTATCATACTGCTGTAAAAGATCATAGTTCAGAAGACATTTCAGTGCCGAGCAGTCCACATACAGAAGCTATACAACATAGTTCGGTCAGCACATCCAGTGGAGTCAGTTCAACCTCCAAGGCAGAAGCTGTAGCCACTTCAGTCCTCACCCAGATGGCGGACAAGAGTACAGAGCCTGCTCTTTCACAGATCGTTACGGCTCCTTCCTCCCAGTCACAGCCCTCCGGAAGTTGATTAAAAACCTGCAGTACAACAATGTTAGCTACTCATTAGTGACTTCAAAGGGAAATCAAGGAAAGACCAGTTTCCATTTATGTGAAATCTGTGGTTGTAAATTTTTTTTTTACTTGAAATTAAATTTGGCTGTAAAGTTGGTGTAGCAGCAGTTGATCAGACTGAAAAACAGTTTTTAGTCTCTGGAAAAAGACTGATTTTGCTTTTTTTTTAATATAAATATTGTTAGATTTATTAATTTTTCTGTGCTCAGTGTATAAATTGTATTATAATTCATTGTGGTTTATTTCACTTTTAATTTGCTGGTGTTTTAATAAATGGGGGTGTTACTGAAAAAATGTGAGCAAGGAAAAAAATCACTGATCATTTCTTTCTTTTTATGATTATTATTATACTTTAATTTCTGGGGTACATGTACAGAACACGCAGGTTTTTTACAAAGGTATACATGTGCCATGGTGGTTTGCTGCATCCGTCACCCCTCATCTACATTAGGTATTTATCCTAATGCTATCCCTCCCCTAGCCCCCTACCCACTGCTATCCCTCCCCTAGCTCCCACCCCCTGACAGGCCCCAGTGTGTGATGTTACCCTCCCTGTGTCCATGTGTTTTCATTGTTCAATACCCACGTATGAGTAAGAACATGTAGTATTTGGTTTTCTGTTCTTGTATCAGTTTGCTGAGAATGATGGTTTCCAGCTTCATCCATGTCCCTGCAAAGAACATGAACTCATCCTTTTTTATGGTTACATAGTATTCCATGGTGTATATGTGCCACATTTTCTTTATCTGGTCTATTATTGATGGGCATTTGGGCTGTTTCCAAGTCTTTGCTATTGCGAACAGTGCCAAAATAAACATACATTGTGTCTTTGTAATAGAATTATTTATAATCATGTGGGTATATACCCAGTAATGGGACTGCTGGGTCAAAATCACTGAACATTTCTAAAGAAGTACTATGATAGCCAGGTGTGTTGACTCATGTCTGCAATCCCAGGACTTTGGAAGGCTGAGATAAGTAGATAACTTGAGGGCAGGAGTTCAAGACCATCTTGGCCAACATGGCAAAATCCCATCTCTACTAAAAATACAAAAATTAGCTGAGCATGGTGGTGCATGCTCGTAATCCCAGCTACTAGGGAGGCTGAAACAGAGGAATCACTTGAACCCAGGAGGTGGCGGTTGCAGTGAGCGAAGATCATGCCACTGCACTCTAGCCTGGGTGACAGAGCAAGTCTCTAACTCAAAAAAAATAAAAAAGCACTGTGACAGAATCAGTGTTGTAGACCTTCTAGAAAGGTAAGCCAGTAGTGACATCAAAGTTGGAGTAGAGTAGAAATACTTCAGGTTGCAAGGATTATATATTATAACCTTTTTCCAGATCTTCCAGAAACCCCTATTTATTGATCCTCAGCCCATCATGGATAGAAAATTCATTTATTCAAGCAATATATATTTTTTCAAAAATTAAAATTCTGTTAAGAGTATTAATTGAAGATATTCTAGATTTACTTCATCTGACTTCTGAAACTTAAAACATAAAAAACAATGTGTAGATACTTGAGTCTGTATAACAATGAAGAGAGTTCAGCTAGGAAAGAAATGACCACTGGCCATTAAGAGATTCCAAATATGTCCTTAAAGACAAAAAGTGGACAGAAGTGTACTGACAACTGAAGCAGAATATAATACACTAGTGTCCCACGATCCTTTGGGTGTTGCTTTGCCAGCTGGAAACTTCTGTGGCTGGCGGTGCCTCTGCTTGAGCTTCGCCCACACCCACTGGACTTGTTCTGCCTATTGGACTTGTTCCACCTACTCGACCCAGCCCACTGTACTTGGCTCGAATTACTGCTCTGGATCCCACGCCTGCTAAGGGTGAGCCAGGCACTCAGTTACAAAGGATGTGTGAGCAGGCAAGCGTGGAATCCAGCCACTGCGCACAGCCAGGCATATCAGCTGCTGCTGCGGAGTGGGCAGGTCCAAGCACCAACACAAGCACTGGCTCCATGTGAGGCTATGGCTGAACCAGATGCCTCTTCTGCTGCAGAGACCAGTGTCTGGATGAGGGGAACAATGTGGTACCCAAAAGCTTGGAGATGCCAGGAAACACAAAGCCCCCAAAGAGGGTGTTACAGCATGTCATAGCTCTGGCTCAGGAAGCCCTGAGGTCTGGGCTCCCAGAGGGCTGCAGCTCTTCTCTCTCTCTCATCGCCTGCAGTGCAGCAAGTGGAGGTTGGAGGCATGTTTCAATGGAGCATGTTTCAGCCAGTCTGTATTACAGCTCTTTCAGTCCCACCACCCCATTCCAGTTTGTGGTTGCCCCAGCCCCACTGCTGCTTCCCACCGTGTGGGGTGGCCACCCAGCACCAACAGCCGACGGGAGTGCTATAGTGTTACAGCAGCTCTGCCTCAGGAAATTCCAAGGTCTGGGCCCCCAGAAGGGTGGCCACTCTTCACTCTCACACTCCAGAAGCATGTCACTGACCAGGGCTTGGAAAATTGGCCATGAAAGCATTACAGCTCCTTTCACACCCACCACTCAGTGGATCTCTAGTAATTGCCCCATGTCCAGGAAGAATGAGGTTACATGGCCAACTGGAGGGTGAACAAGGCAGAGAGGAACTTTATTGAGCAACAGAACAGCTCTCAGAAGAGAGAAGACCTGTAGTGGGTACCTCCTTTCCACAGGCAGGTCATCCTGAAGAGTATCTGAGTCTGGATGAGTCCAGAGTTCTTAAGGGCTCAGAAGGGGGGAAGTGCATGCTGATTTATCCATGGGCAGCTATGGGCAGGCCTGGAAAAAACACTGTAAGTTCTCACTCTGGCTTGTGGACTACATCCATAACTGGTAGTCTGGCTCCCAGGCTTCAGGCCATCCCTGGCTTCAAAATGGGGTTTCACCAGGGACCTGCCTCTTCCCACCTAGGAATCTGTCTGCCTCCCATTGCCATCAACATGCCATCTGTGCCCAAGCTGTCCATACTTAGGGGAGCCCACAGGCCCACACCAAGCTGCCCTCAGCATCCCCAGCCTCCCTCTGAGTGAATCAGCACCCAAGGTTTCAGAAGGGGCTGAGGTGGTGGTGGAGGGGGCGGGGCTGGTGTGTCAGTGCTATACCAAATATGCACACACTTGGCTGGGTCACAACAGTGCCCAGGCTAAGCTAGAATTTTGCTCCACACCAGAATGGACACTAAGAGTAGGGAGATGCCACAGAGTGGAAGCAGGTACTTCTGAGCCTGTCAGGACAAGAGGTTTCCCAGGACCCCGAGAGCACAGGGATGCCCAGGTCCAGAGCCATGGCTGGGTGGCTGCAGTTGTTCCTAGGAGTGCAGGCTCCTGCCTTGCCAAATCAGTAGAGTGTGAGGCTCTCACTGGGATCATCTGTTCCAGCCCCTGCTGGCTCCATGAAGGGCACAACCCCAGGTGCACCTCCCCAACTGCAGCTGGCTTCCCTGCAGCAGCTACTCCAAATGAACCATTGCCACCATCACTAGGAGGAAGCTGCAATTGAGATAAAATCTGGCCTGTGCACTGAAACCTTAGAGAAATTCTAGGTTCAGAGCACCTGAGGAACTATCTCTAAGGAACATTAAGAAAAGAATGAGAAGGGTGGCTAAGAACAGAGATTAAAGATCTGAATACAAGAAAACTATACCAATCAAATCCACTGTTTTCTTCCATATCTGTCCATAGCAAATACAAGGACCCTAATATTTACCTCCAGCCAAAAATAATAATAAAAAGATAAGCCTCCTTTGTGGCAAAACTTCATCTCTCTGACCCTTTACATCTAGGCAGGACCATGTGTCTAGTTTTAGCCAATGGAATATAGGAAGTAATCTGTCATTTCCTTGCTCAAGCAATTAAGAGGTGCCTTCTCCATCCTCTCTTCCCCTTCCATTACAAGTGACAGAGAATCACAGGGCATTTTAAGGATAGCATACCATAAAACAGAAGGAATTAGGGTCACTGAATCATCATATGAAGGAAAGCTGCTTGCTAAGAACACCTTCAGTGGACAGTTAAAGGATTAAAAAAATACACTGCTATTTTGTTGTCATTAAGATCTTCAGGCTCATGATTGAAGATGGCCGAATAGGAACAGCCCTGGAGTGCAGTTTCCAGTGAGAACAAGGCAAAAGGTAAGTGATCACCACATTTCCAAACGAGTTTTTACTGCCTACAGACCCGAAGATTCCCAGGCTGCAAAGCACCAAAAGTTTCCAGCACAGCTGTTTCAGCCGGCACTGCCAGTTTCCACACAAAAATTCACACAAATCTGGGTGGCCGTTTCAACTCGCACCTGGATCGCCTGGGAGACAGAGTTGCCTATTCAACTGAAAAAGACAGGGCTGAAACAGAAAGCCAGGTGATCTGGCTTGGCAAGTCCCACCCCACAAAGAGCAGCAATCTGAAACACTCTGGATTGAGAGTTTCGCAACAACCATGCGGTGAAGGAGGTCTGCCACTACCGAGGCAGTCCACCACTATCAAGACAGTCTGCCAGTACCAAGGAAGTCCACCATTACCAAGGAAGTCCGCCAATACCGAGGCAGTCCACCATTACCAAGGCAGTTCACCATTACAGAGGCAGTCCGCCATTACTGAGGCAGACCATCATTACCGAGGCAGTTCTAACTGTACCTCTATAAACAAAACCACAAGGAATTTTACACAGCAGCTGGGCAGAGCCCATGGCAGCTCAACAATGCCTCTGCTGGCAGACTGTGACTAGACTACCTCCTTGCTGGACAGGGTATCTCTGAAAAAAGGCAGCAGCACATCAGGAACTTATAAATAAAGCCCCACCTTCCCAGGACAGAGCACCTGGGAAATGAAGCAGTTAGGAGTCCTGCTGCAGCAGACTTATACCTGCACAGCAGCTCTGCACAGAACAACATAGTTCCCAGCACAGCACTGGAGCTCCTATAAGGGACAGACTGTCTCCTCAAGCAGCTCCCCAAGCCCCATATATTCAAAGAGACACCTCATAAAGAAGAGCTCAGGCTGCCATCTGGTGGGTTCCCTTCTGGGATGAAGACAGAAGAAGAAAACGGCAGCAACTTTTACT